TGATTAAAAACCAAACTTGGAGTTTGGTGAAACTAACTGCAGATGGGGAGGCAATTGGTTGCAAGTGGGTGTTCAAGAAAAGGTTGCTATTAATGGGAAGGTTGAGAATTACAAGGTTTGTTTGGTTGCAAAGTGATATTCACAAACAAAAGGAGTTGATTATGGTGAGGTGTTTTCATTTGTTGCAAAGTTAAATTCCACAAGACTTGTTTTATTTGTGGCAGCTCAGTATGATCTTAAGGTGAAACTGGATATGGAGACTGCATGACTTGGAAGAGTTTATTTATATAAAACAGTTAGAAAGGTTTGTAATAAGAGGTAAAGAAGACTTAGTCTGTAAGCTTGTATGGTTTGAAGCAATATCCCAATATGTGGTACCTGAAATTTGATACTTATGTGTTGAGACTTGAGTTTAATCATTGTAATGCTGATCATTGTGTTTATGTGAAAAAACTAGAAAGTGACTTTGTTATTCTAACCTTGTATGTTTACGACAAGTTGCTTGTTGGGAACAACTTGAAGATGATCAGCACTGTCAAATGACTGCTGGCAAGGTAGTTTGAAATGAAATATTATGCTTTGCGAATATGATATTGGGCATACGAATTAAGGGGGAACGTGATAAAGGAAGGTTGTGGTTAAGTCAATGGAAGTACATATAGGATGTTATGAAGAAGTTTAATATGATTGACTGCAAACAATGTTGATTCCCATGTCTGCAGGTTCAAAGTTATCAATTGACCAATGTCCCAAGACTAAAGAAGAAAAAGAAGCGATGATGTCAGTTCCTTATGCTAGTGCAGTTGGGAGTTTGATGTATACAATGATTTGTACTCGTCCTTTATTGCGCACGTATATGTCCAAGCCAGGAAAGGAGCATTCGATGACAGTGAAACGTGTGTTCCATTATTTTCGTGGTACATCTGCCCTTGGGTTTTCCTTGAAGGTTTGAAGGGCTCAAGGGGTTAATCACTATTAAAGTTGAAGTGCTTTGTGGATGCTGATTGGGGAGGTGACATTGATAGTATAAGGTCTACAATATGATTTGTTATTTCCTTATTCGGCGAAACTATCAGTTGGATGGGTAAGAGGTAGAACATAATTATTTTATCTACTATAGAGGCATAGTACATGGCCTTGACTAGGGGTGTTAACGGGCCGAGCCGAGCCGAGCTTTGATCTTAACGGGCCAAGCCTGTATTTAAACGTGTCAGACTGGCATTAGCCTGTTACCTGTTACGAATATAATATTAGCCTGTGGCCTGGTTCGTTTACAAAAAATAAAAGCCTGTCTCAAGCCTGTGGCCTGTTTATTTATTAAAAATAAAAACCTTACCTTCCAATTTGTAGCAGTATTTAGCCCATTAATCATGCACTGATATGTATTTTTTTGTAAGAAAATAATAGTTGTTTCTTTTATAATAAGAAAACATTAATATTAAAAAATCAAAATAACAACAGCACCTTTACTTTATTTTACGTTGCTTTTCCTTAATTTTCTTCCACATTCTAGATATTTTACATTAAATTTTCTTCCACATTCCTTAATATTGTAGATTTTTTACACTAGATTTGAACCCCACCAATAAATTTTCTTCCACATTTTACATTAAATTTTCTTCCACGGTCGCCGCCATAAGCATCATTATAAGCCGTGGAATCCGCATGGCTTATAAAAATAGATGATGAACATGACTTCATTTACCTGTTGGTGGGACGATGACTTAGATCGGGGAGAAGAGATAGATCAGAGACAGAAAACTGAGAAAAGGATGTTAAAATGATTAATATAAAAATATAAAAAATAAATAAATTTAATATATACGGGCCAGCCTCCAAGGCTTCAAGGCCGGGCTTGGCTATGGAAGCCTGAGGCCTTTTAAATAAAAAAGCTTTTGCATGAGTATAAATCTGGACTTAATAATAAAAAAAGACGAGCTGAGTCGAGCCAAAACGGGCTGGGCCTAAGGCCCCTGGCCTTATTATCACCCCTAGCCTTGACACATGCTGTCAAGGAGGTTATTTGGTTGCGCAGGTTGTGCAAATAGCTTTGTTTTACGCAAGAAGATATGGTCGTTGGGTGTGATAGTTAGAGTACTATTTTCTTGGCTAAGAACTCAGGCTTCCATGCTTCCATGCAAGGACCAAGCATATAGGCATACAATACCACTTTATCAGAGAGAAGATATAAGACAAGGTTGTAGTGCTAGAGAAAGTTGACCCAAAGGTGAATAATGCGATTTTTTGACTAAGGCCGTGAATTTAGAGAAGTTTGAATGATGTACAATTGCATTGGGACTGAAGAAGCATGCGAAGCATTTGCCAAGTGAGAAAATATTAGATATGACTCATACTTCGCATTCATCCACAGAGGCTTGATATTGTTATGAGTCTTTAGTTTATTTAATTTTATTTTTAGTAGTTTGTGATTGGGTTCATAAATAGTTACTGATTTTAGGATTTAAGGTTGAGTTTCTAAACCTATCTGTATTCCTATTGTAAATATAGTGCTTTATAATGAGTGCGGTGAGGAGAATATAACGAATATTGCTAGACATAACCCACATTAGATGAATATTGGTAAATTTATGTCTTCACTCTCTCTTTCCCACGCTATTTTATGTATTGCAATATTTTGGGTGATGGTTTGGTGCCAACACAATCATTGCCTAGTTAGTCATTTGACTCATACATCACAAATATGTAGAAAGTGATGATTAGCACGAAATACGTACATTGAGGTTGTTATCAATAATTTTGAATTTAAGTTTTGGATATATAATTGTGTCAAAAATTTAGTAGGAAATTTTTTCTTATAATTGTGAATCTGCACAAACCAGGGGAGAAATCTTCTAAGGTGATAACTTTCAATATAAGAGAATTGTAACAAATTTCTCCCCTATATTGCAATTATGAGGGGAGAAAGAATACAGTTCACAATGTCCATAGTACGCTATGTTTCTATTGTAAGTGTTACCGGGTTTAGGTATAACAAACAACATGCTCTTTAAAACTCAACTCAACTCAACCTGTCTTGTACTTATTCTGATTTGGGCTTTGAAATATTTGCTTTAGATCCTCCCTCTGCCGCAGATGACCTTGATTGAAGAATTCTAACATAACAAATCTGGTAGTGTACATCCCCTAAATGCATTTACGAACAATAAATATTTAATATTTTAAAAGTTTGAAAACTATTTAGTATTTTTAAGTAATTAACATGATAATAAATATTTTTTTATTCCCTATCTTTTTTTCTTAAATTGCAAATTGTCATAAAATGACATTTCCTGTTTAATTCATAAATTTAATGTTGTCATTGAACATTTTAATGTGTTTATACAGCGAATCAATCACTCAATCAATTATGGTTCAGCACTCTTTATGACTGGATTCATGGTAAAACCATTTTAAATCGGTTAAAATCAAACAAAGTCAACTTGTAAATTATAATGGAAGTCTGGCCCATTGTTGGATCTAGTTCTGAAAACAATATTTTTTTTTAGTACAATTTCTGAAAACATTAACATAGCTGTCTTTTGCACAATCATACTGGCTTAAATTTAATTGGGTTAGCAAAAATAATATCTTAGCATGGTCCTATGTAGGGAAGGCAAAAACGAACTATCACAAAAAAGTACTCACACGAGTTATTTAGCAAACAAACTCGACTTATTTTGACAACTGCCACCTTAAAAAATTGAGGAAAATAGTAAAAAACACAAACATTAAATGAAGTATACAAGAAGATCTAAAAATCATTTTATATACTTTTTAATTATTTAATTAGTCTTCTATATGAAAAAGTAATTTTGAAAATGTTCTGGATTGGCCATAAAGATCCAGTTCATTGGGTCGGTCATTAAAGCCCATATAAAAAATCATATTCGTATATTCTTTTTTTTGGTATAAATTCCTATATTCTTTTTTTTTTTTTCTTTTTGATAACAATTCCTATATTCTTTAAGTAAGATAAATGTTGTCTCATTACATAAAATAGAATCATATTCTCCGTGCACACGCCATTCAGCGAGGACCATTATGCACAAAATATCCACCTTATTGTTATGCTACTGAAACACAACTTCAAAAGTCATCGTGTTCAATATTTTTTCCTAATTTTCAATCTTCCTTATGAGTTATGAGATTCACGGTTGAGCTTGAATTCATATCTCTTCTCACTAAATTACTATTACATTAGTATACTACATCTCTAAAAGGAAACATATTCATTTCCACCCATAAAATTTCAGAAAGTCTTTATATAATAATATGGGTTTTATAAGAGTTATGTTATAGTAAAAGTGATTGTGTTATGTTATAGAGATTCGTTTTGCGTGCCAAATTTTTTTTTTTTTTGCTACGGGTCCCACAAAATATTGTGTGTCTAGAAAACTTTTTATGGTCATGTTAAATGATAGATGATAAATCCTAATAATATTCTATATACTCATAAAAACATTCTTAGGTCCTTATATTCATTCACGTAGGATTAGAATCAATTGACCTGATTATATATACATCATCAGAGCATTAGTGGCAAGAGTTGGCGCACAGAAGAAGGGAAATCTCTATGGTATCATTGTTGTATCATTCTCTCAGTGCATCTATCTAATAAAAAATGAAAAATGACTCTCATGTTGTATGAAAAGAAAAGAAAAATATTTTTTTTATCTAAATGTCACTTATTTAATGACAAATGTACCTATTACAAATGCACAAAAAATAATCTCCAGATAAGGGTGGTAAGATTAATTCTCACATCTCTCCGAATCCAATGAAGTTGTTATGAGAGACTTATGAGGACTCTGCCAGAGCCAGAGTCACAAAAATAGGTATTGGGCCTTTTTCATAAAGAAAAAAAAGAAATTACAAGAGAGAATAGGGTCACCCGAATCTCTATGGATAAAATGGCCACGTCTGCTTCTTGAATATTCATCCTCATCCGACAAGAAGAAAAGACACACCGTATACTTAATGCTGTCACTCTCATTGTCACTAAAATCATCATCCCCTTCCTTCAACTATATACTTAAAATCTTTCCCCTCGAACTTCCTTTCCCAGTTCATCCACTCTCTTGTTGTTGTCAATGGCCACACCCTTTAACTTCCACACCATCCTTCGCCCTTCTTATCTCCCTTCACCATCATCATCATTATCTTGTACACTTTCTTTACTTGCTCCGCCTCACTTGTCCACAACTTTCTTGGGTCAAGTCCAAAGGCTCAAATATGCTGCCAATGCCACCCCACTCACAACCAAACGTGGCGTTCGCATGTCATGGGACGGTCCACTCTCTTCCGTCAAATTGATCATACAGGGTAAAAATCTTGAGGTATGGTTATCCCATGCTAGCAACACCACTACCTCAATTCATCACTCACAAAAAAAAGCAACAATTTCGGAACAAGAATTTCAAGCTCTCTTGAACTTGAACTTGAACTTGAACTAATCTGCTATCTGTCTTGGTGTTTTTCAGCTCACTGATGTGGTGAAGCAGCATGTGGAGGACAAGGTGGGGAAGGCGATTCAGAAGCACAGCCACATAGTGAGAGAGGTTGATGTGAGGCTATCTATTCGAGGAGGAGGAGAGTTTGGACGAGGACCCAGGACCCGTAGATGTGAGGTAAGCCTATTTCCATTTTCAAGTTTCAATCTTTGTAATCTGGGATGGAGTTGCAGCATTATAACATACTCAAACACCAAGTGGGGGTTCAATTCTTTGATTCCAATGTGCATTAGGTGACTTTGTTTACAAAGAGGCATGGAGTGGTGCGGGCTGAGGAAGATGCTGAAACTACCTATGGAAGTATAGATTTGGTGTCATCAATCATTCAGAGGAAATTGAGGAAGATAAAGGAAAAGGAGTCAGATCATGGTCGCCACATGAAGGGTTTCAATAGGTTGAAGGTTAGAGAGCCAGTTGAGCAACTACCCCTGGATGAGGATGAAATATCCTCACAGGAGGAGGAAGAATCAACTGACGAGGTTGGTAGTTAGTGCTTACTGCTTAATACTTATCATTGTTCTTGTTTAGTTTCATTGTATCTCTGCTTTAGTTTTAGCTTCCTTTTCATCCATGTCATGCCTACTTCGTTCGTCTGCTTTGTTATACTTACCTAGATTTTGGCTTTTGTTTATCTATTTCTCAAATTTGATCTATCAGGGCCCTGCATAAGTCCCTATTCGTATATGTGTGCACATCTTGAATTGGGTTCCTGCATGTTTATTTGTCTACACTGTATTCATTGATTCCATAAAAGAAGATTGAGGTCCTCTCCAATAGACCAGGAAAACTCCCACCCTCCTCCACAAAAAATACCTAATATTAGGCTGTGATATATTCTAGAAGTCAAAGTGAAACTGTTCTACTCACACAGAATAGAAAATTGGAATTGTCTGGTTTGGAAGTAGATTTGATGGGGTTTTTATTGCGAGTGATTCAAAATCTTGCATGCATATTGGAAAACTCTTGTGCTCTCTTTCGGTAGATATATTATTGCTTATCATGAGATTGTGCTTTCTTTTTGTTTCCTTGCATTGCACCTACTCAAGTTGTGAGGCTGTCTTACAGGTTGTCCGCACAAAATACTTTGACATGCCGCCATTGTCTGTGTATGATGCAATTGAGCAGCTTGAAAATGTTGATCATGACTTCTACGCTTTTCGAAATGAAGGAACTGGTGAGGAATTACTGTTTAGCTGTCTTTCGTTTGGCGTTGTTTCTCCCATCATTTTCTTGGTCCCCCCCTTCCTCCTCTCCTTTTAGTATCAATAATCTATTTTTTGCTATTCTGGGAACTAAATGGATTCCCTCTGCTTCAGGGGAGATTAATATTGTATACAAAAGAAAAGAAGGAGGTTATGGACTCATTATACCCAAAGGAGATGGTGAACCAGAGAAATTGGATCCTGCAGTGGTTGAACAAGCTAGAGAACCATCCCTGAAAGAATGAAAGGCATTCATGAAAACTCTTTTTGTTAGAACGTGCGAGCTTGTACATGATTAGCGGATACTAACGGAAATTTCTTTATAGTCATAAAGCAATTTCAATGGAGGCTCTGGTGCTTTAAGTGCAAACCAGGTTTTAAAGTATGATGTACACTTGGGTGACTAGTGATTGTAAAATGAAAGAGATACATCATTTTGTGTACTGAACATAATGTCCAGAGTACTCCTTTCCTCTAACAATGCAACCTACTTTCTTTTATCATTAGTTTTGTCTGCTTCATGTCTATTGCTTTTTTCAGATTACACCATAAAATGTTAATTATATTTTCCTTCAGCCCTTTATTTGTCTAGCAAATTTTATTGTGTTTTGTGTACAGTTGATTAGGCAAATGTTGGCTGGCAAGAGAAATCCATGTGATAAGGACACAATCAGAGAGTTTTCTAGTTAGTAGTCTTGTTGACGGAAGGGTATGTGATGGAATAAGATGGTAAGATTTATCTTTAATAGATCTGGTTGTACTGCTATACTTTTGATCTTTAATGTAGAGTTGAAAAATAATGTATCTGGTTGTGATTCTATAATTATACTGTTCCGGATCCACACCTCAGGCCCATCAGTTGGGTCCAATCTCTTAAGCCCACATGTAGAACCTTCTAGAAGGCGCCCATGGCAAGCCATAAAGGCTCACCACTGGGGCATTCCCCTTCCTGCACAGCTGCCCCTGTACACTGACATGAGCTGCATGTCGGCTTGGAGACAGCAGAGGGAGGACCAACGGTCTCCCCCAAAAGAGGACTCTCCTCTCTAAATATCCCCCTCACACAGGGAGAAGGGATTTTGGTCTCCACTCTTGACTATGCGGTCACTCTACCCACTTGGTAGAGCCATCCTTGCCATACACCCCCCCGCCCCCCCTTATGCACCATGGGAAGCTCCACTAGTACCTTGGTCTCTACCACTGCTACTATGGACACCCCTATATCAACATACTTCACCCTCCATGGGAGACATCTATGTACCAGCATGAGTACATATACCAAAGTGGAGGATCTATAACAGCCTTATAAATTGAGTCAACTGGTCCAAAATTTGCGACAGTGCTAGTTACGGTTGTAGGAGATGGAATGGTTCTTGAATGGAGGTTATTGTCTAGCTTAGTGTTGTTCACTGGGCAGGGCATAGGTGTTCCATAAGGTGGGAAATTGTGGATTACTGCAAACCATGTCATATACAGGATCAGTTGTATCTATGTCATACACTAGTTAAAGCTTTAAGATGATAAATTCTTCCAATGAATATTTAGTTAAGCAAGGAACTTTTAATTTCACTTATGACTGATTTGAGAGCAGCAGGAGCATTTAAGCAGTATAACGGTGCCCAGTGACTCAATGAGTTCCCGACTTAACAGTGAAGAAGCTTCTTGTGAAGTATCATCAGAAGAGAATGCTGCTACTACATTGAGTCATTGAGGCCTGAAGCTGCTTTATAAGATTGAAACCTGAAGCTGCTTTATCAGGCTGTTCTATATATATGTTGATTTCTGACGAGTCATATACATGCTGCCATGGTATCCCTAGGTTTTATTAACACCACTATTGCACGGCAATGGAATTATGCCTTCTAGATGGAAAATCTGCTATTTCCGGTTGAAACAAATCGGCCGGTATGAGTTTTGAATTGGAAAATTTTCACAGTAGGGATGCCTGCTAGGTCCACCCAAATTTTTATCATGCAAAAACTAAATGGTTATAAAAATTGAGTAATGTTTAATTTAGTTTCCAAGAAGGTGATTTTACCTGCTTGAGCGGAAGCATTATGGTATCTGCATTACAATTGGAGCTGTGAGCTATGCTTAATGAAAATGGATGAAATGATATTAATTGTTATTATTTAAATTGCTTAAAATAAGAGGGAATAGAATGCAATCTGATAGAATATATTTTATTGCATTCCATTTAATACTTTTATTTTTCTTACCCCAATTAGGGGTATAGAATGAAAGTTGCAAAAATACTAGGATGCAAAGATTTTGTTAGCCTAGAAGTGTGCTAATTTCATTCATGCGTCCAACGCTTTGTTGCTAGTGAATGGCATGAATAAATGCCATTCGCAAATAATATTTACCGAGGGATTTAGCAGTTCGTGTACCTCTGTATGTTCTCGTGTAATACCCTCAGTTACCGTTCAAATAGTTTCTTGAGAATCCAAGTCACAAATCAAACACTGATTTTCTACCTCTGAAGCAACAAGAGTCCCTGCTCAGTAACTCTTTTTAAGTTCGGCAACAATATTTGTATGAACTCCTACATAACCATAAAAACCCAAGTCAAACCCACTCTTCGGTACAATCTCACCAAGACCTGCTTGCCCAAGAGACCAACGGTGAGGTGTGAGAAAAGTTACAAAAGGATTCAAAAGTCGAGAAACAAATCACTACCATATTAATCACAGCCGTATCATTACTCTTTCCACTAATGTTTCTAGGGAAAGGCCTTGAGGCACAAAGAATAACAGGAAATTACTAGGGGCAGCAAAACTGACGCAAAAGGAAAAATATATTTAACTTATTCCCCTTCATTTTCGTTTGCCAAATCTCTGAGTTGAAAGCTCACAGAGAGACATTCGTCCCCCGCTTATACTCTTTCTTACTTCATTCCTATGCTTAATCCTGTTATCAAAATTATAACCAAGGAAAGCAGGAAAAATTAGTAACTCCTCAATGTCACGGTCCATCTCCTCTATCAAGTACTCCATCTTCTCTTCTAAAGAAGTATGATTATACTGCAATATTTGTGGCTGCTTCCTGCTCATAGTAACAATGTCTTCACACGAAAACCCATAACTCAATAATAGACAGATGACCTTTTGCATGTTCTCACAGCTTGTCCTAGTAGTAAATGCAATTGCAGTTGCCAATTCCTTTGTCCTATATTTATACCCAATCTTGACCAGAAACATAAGTTTAAAGGCAATGTTCTCACGGAATGAATGAGCTAGAAACAAGGGTGCTTTAATCAAGAACTTGGAGATATCACCTGAATCTAACCCACATTCCTTGAGAAATTGTATTCTAGGACGCAGTTTCCTCTCTCTGCTTGCAGTAACGACTCCTGGGTATACAAGTATTATTCTAAATATCTCTTGGTCATCAAGGCCTGCAAAAGACCTAAGGAGCTCAACATGTTGCTCCACATGTTTCACACTATAACTCAAAATTGCTGGGAACTTATGAAGCACTTTCCCAACGTCACGCACATCTCCACCATTGAGCTCAGTTAGGACTTTGATTTTTGGAATCAGCTGATTATCCAAATCGTAGTTGAGAATTGCAGGCCATCTTACAATCAAACCAATACCACCAAAGGGCTCTAGGAAAGTTATGATCCTATCAATTTCATCCATTGACCTATGACAAAGTGCCTTTGTCAAATTTATTTTGTTAAGCACATGAACAATCTTATCAACAGGAATTCCTCGATCAACAAGGAGTTGGACCTTTTGAGGAAAACCCACAAAGAATCTTGGTTCAATAACGGATAAAAAGCGCTTCAGCTGTGCTTGTTCAAGCTGTCCTTCCAATTCATCTCTTAAAAAGTTTAACAAGGTGTCAATTCCCTTAGCTGTTAGTACAGTTGGACGCTTCATAACCAAGTGATTAAGGGCAACACGATCGAACACGAGAGACTGCAGACAAAGAACCCGAGCATGCAATGAATCAATTGACACTAATGTAAGGTCAGGGTTATTGAGCAAGAGCAATTGGGTTTCCTCATAGCCAATCCCCATTTCTCGAAACAAAGAGAAGAGCGTCCCTGAAACAAAACACGAGTCAATAAGAGACACACATGACACTGGGTTTATAATGGCTGCTGTCTAGATGTTTGAGAATTTGACTCTGAGAGTTATTCACCTAATTCAACGTCAGTAAGAGCGAGTGAGCTACTGCAGCGACACTGGAAGAATGCACGATCGGAGGGTCGGAAACATTCCTTGTTTAATGGTTGTGATTTGATGTTTGTTTTGGTGACGGAGAACAAGGCTTGAGCTTCTTGTTGAGGATACAAGGATGGAGTTGGATGAAGTGAGAGTTGAAGGGAATGCGAAAGGTTTAATGGGTATGGATGAAACATCATTGAAGAACAAGAACATGAACTATTTGTAAACAGAGAGAGTGCTAACACCATTTCTGCAAAATGGCAGACTAATCACGATGGATGTTGTTGCGCGTACGGTTTATCTGAAGGTGCAAATATGTACTCGTGAACCAGATATCGTAAGTGACATGAGAAATTTTTCTTTTTAATTCATTAAAAGGTTTATGTTTGGTTGGAAATAATTTTTATTTTTTACGCACGTAAAAATGTGTAGCACTTATATAACTTGTGTAAAGAGTAAAGAAAAAGAGAAAATATTGGTCTTACACATTTTTATGTGTATATCTATACTGTATTATAATTAAGAGTCATTCTATGAAAAGTTTTGCTACGTATAATTCATACAATGATTTGAATTATTTTGAAAAGTGTAAACTTTCTATTTTAAGCAAGTTTCTAATAAAATTTAAATTATGTGTCATGAGTCAAGTGATACTTAATCCATGGTGCAATCTAATTAATTTAAATGTTAAATTAAATAATAATAATTTGAATTCTAATTTTAAAATTTGAATTTAAATATAGTCATGAAATTATATTTGATGACAATGAAGAAAATTAAGGAAATCAATTAATTAGATTGATCGAATAAAATTAGAGAAACTAATCAATTGGATTTATTGGATAAAAAAAAGTATATACCCAATACGATTGGGAAGTGAAGGGGCACTAATACAGGGATTGATTAACTATCATATTTAATTTCCTTTTTTTTCTTATTTAAATGAGACATTTTTCTTATTTTGCTCTATCCAAAATCCTAGCCGAAAATTACTCCATTCTTTGGAGAGTTGACTTCTATGCATACATTTCTTCTATTCTCTATATGTTTTTCTTCTTCTTCTTCTCAAGCTATTCTTGTGCATTATGTATTCCAAATATGATTTTATAGAGAATTTTAATCCTACCAAAGAGGAGTGGAGGATTAAGGTTAGAGTGGTTAGGACTTGGATTGTTCCTAAGTTGTATCGAAAATATTTTGATGACAATGTAGAGATGGTTCTGTTGGAAGAACAGGTAATACTTTTGGTTTCTATATGGCATAACTACTGTGAAATGATATAATTTGATTTTCATTATTTTATTAATGTGTGTGTTTTGTAGCATAAGGGTCCATGCTAGTGTGAAATGTTATTTACAAGTCTGGAATAAAATTCGTGAAGGAGATATCTATTTTATCATAAATTTTTGAGTTGTTTAAATAGAGACAATTTAAGGCCAACTAGGCATGGTTATCGTCTGTCTTTCAACTTGAGGACAAATGTTAAACAATGGATTCGATTTTATTGATTTTGACATTATTGAGAAAGAAGCACCTGACTGTCCTTATTTAGTTGGTAATATATTTTGTCTCTAATATTACTCACTTATTTATTTTATTTTTAAGATTATCATATATTCAACATCTTTGTTTTGTAGACGTCATTAGTTTACCGTTAGGAATTGAGGAAGTTCGTGAACATGTTGTCTCCAGTAGAAAAACAAAAATGGTTGTGTTTGTCAGCATGTTGACCCGAATGTATGTTGTTTTTCGTTTTCAAACGTTATTTGATTATATTAATACTTTGTATTAGTTTTACAAATATTTTTTAATTTTCAAGATCAAGCAGTATTTGATAATGCTTGCGACACTGGTATCTTTCAATTAAAATTAGATTTTATCAATTAAATATTTTTTTGCGTTATTTATAACGTTTCATAATTTTATACAATTTTAATGTTTTACTAGGATGATGAGAGTCAAATATGTGATAGTGCCAATGTTGGTGATGCTTTCCTCACTTTGTTGTCATCGTTGATTATAAATTTTGATGCTGTCAAGGAAGAAGATTTTAATTGTTTAGTTAATCGTCCTAAAAAAAAAATTAAGATAGAGAAAAAGTTAAATACTTACCCATTATTTGTGTGTTTATAATTTTTTACTACATATTATTTCTATATTCTATATCATTAATTCGGTATAGAGATCCCAACAATTTTTTTTAATTAGACCTATTGCTGAAGTCGGAGACACCTTCCTTGAGAAAGGGAAGTTGTGTATGGATAGAGAGCTATTGGGAAAGAAGTTGTGTAGCATCAACATTGTTCTGGGCATTGTTGAACTATATATTTAGAATTATTAGACAGTTAGAAAATAAACAATGTTTTAATATTTATTTGACATTTGAGTGAACAATTGTGGATGATTATCTAACGTTTAATATGAGGTTAAACATTAATAATTTGACGTTATGATATTTAATATAATTTAATTTTTGTGCGTTTATTTTTCTTCTTCGTTTCCTGAAGTTAATTTTCTGCAATAATTAATATACAATAATTTGATTATTACTTGAAATTTGGAAAAAAAAATTGGCAACAAATTTGGAAAAATTTATTCCTTTGTTTGATTACGAAATTTTTTTTAATAAAATACATTTATGGTAAATCATCTTCAACTAAAAAATAAAATGAAGAGACACATTCTGCATAGTAAAACTATGTTTGTCATTAAATTTTTTATTATTCATGTATCTATACTTCAACTGACTTCTTTTAATTTATATGTATCAGGAAGTTTGTTTTATTTTATTTTATTTTTTTCTAAACCACATGGTAGTCTCTTTTAATTTATATGTATCATCTGTCTATCCTGATTATTTTATGAAACCTTTTGATATTCCTCTTTTTTTCCCGAACCTTCGTTCTATGACTGATTCTTCATTTTCTGCAAAGTGGGGAATGATTGAGAAACAAAGATAGATGCCCCTGAAATCTCTTACAAGGGATTTACTGTTGCTTCTTTATCTATTTTATCTTTTAATTATTTCTTTAATAATTGTGCCCTTGAAAATTTATTTATAATTTTTTTTAAAATTTGCGTTAAGTTTCACGAGACAAACAATCCTATTTCTTTTTTTCTCTGTGCATTGCGCGGGTAATAAACTAGTAGAAAATAATTTATTTCTTACCACATGAGAAATAATGAACCCTTCATTAAAATGCAAAAGAAATATTGTAAATTAAATTAATTTAACATAAAGAAGTTAGATATTAAGTTGTCATGTTATTTGCACTACAAACTAGATATATTAGAAGGAAAAATTATTTCTGCCTTTACTTGAGAAATAGTTTTGTCTACCACAGACACAATTTTTTTTTATTTTACGAGGATTCGACACAGATTATGATAATTTTATTAAAAAAAAAACTAGTGGGTCCCATTTTTAAGACATCTCTTCTCTACCATTGCTGTAGAAAAAACGGGACCCATATTAGAAATTATAAAGGATACCCTATAGTAGCTAGGAAAGGTAAAATGGATAGAATAATTAAATTCTAACGGTGTTAAAAATGGACTTATATGAAAAAAATTATTGGAGGGTAAGTGATTAAAAAAATATAGGAGTTTAAGTAATTCAAAGTAAGGGTGTTTATCAACCGATCCAAATCAATTCGAACCGCGGTAACTGAATTGAAAAACCTAATACCGAATTAATCAAAAATCAAAAAATCAAAAAAATCGCAAAAATTAATTGGATTGGATCAAATTTGATTGGTTGGTGAAAACTGATCCAATGATTTCCCAACCTTGCCCTCTACCTAGTTGAGCCTATTCCCCCAATCATAGCCCAAAATCATATAGCAAAATTCTAAACCCAAGATTGTGTACAAAATTGGTTCTGGTCCACTTTGTTTTCCAATGATGTAGAGGAGCTTATAGAAGAATTTGTAAAGATGGAGATGGAGATAGGTAATTTATTTTATTTGACTTGTATAATATTTTTTTATTTTATATCATGTTTTTTTATCTTCTAATTATTAAGTTACTAACAATATTTTATTATAATTATTTTAGATATTTCTCCAAATACAGAAGTTGATGACGATTTTGACGAGAATTCTGATTAAAAGTTGATGATGTAAGAACAAACTTGTTTATGAGAACTACACTATCTAGTTTTTTTATTTGCGGTTGTTATTGTCCTTGCGTGTATACTCTAAACTGTTCAACAGGTTTCATGCAAATGATAATTATTACTTGAATAAAAGTAATTTACTTGAAGCTATTCGTGATGCAGGTGTCGATACCTTCAAGGCAGTTGCAAGGCAGGCTACCCATACTATATTGGTTGCTTGCAGTTCCGAGCAGCCCTTAAGCTCAGTATGCAGCCATACTACCATATTAACATACTCAGTTTCAAAAATCTACCTTAATGTCTAATTGTTGCTGACAATGCTTTTATGCTTTTGTAAACAATGTTGTTAATTTCAAAAGAAAGTAGGTTGTGTTTGATCTATGTTATATTTTTTTTTGGGTAAAATACATCATATATTTTTATTGCATAAGTTATTGTTGTACAACTCCTCCTCTATAGAATGAAAATTTGGGTTACTCCATATATCGGGCAACCACATTGTAAATTTCTTATTGGAGGTAAAAGATGGTAATTCAACTTTTTGTTGTACTATATTGAAAATATGATTATCGTAACCTTATGCTTCTAGATTGCACAATAAACATCATACAAACTTTACAAAGCCAATACATATAAAAGATATGTTATTTGCACAATAATAATCATATAAATTTTAGGCTTTTCAAAAAATTGAAAACTGATCTAATTCAAACCGAATAAAATGAGATTGGATTGGATCGGATTTAAAAAAAAATTCAAACCGAATGGATGATTATATAATCAAATCGAAGGGATTGGATCACATGATTTTTGTTTTCATAACTGATCCAATCCAGACCGAACACCCCTAATTCAAAGCAAAACAATAAGGGCATGGAATAGCGGTGATGGGGAAGGAATTTAAGGTTCAGAAAAACATGTTTATCAAGTGATAAGAGAAAAAATTATGAAAAATTATAAGATTTTATTTTATTACAATATAACAAGACATTAATTATATTGATAAATAACAGGATATTATTTTATAAAAAAGAATATATAATTTTTTTAAAAACAAAATATTATTTATTAAAAAATAGAAGTTGGACCTGTAAGTTTAAAGGACATGTATGCTAAAATAAACTTGTGACTTGATTTTTAAACAAGTCCTTCAATGTA